TCTCGCAAAAGTCAGCAAAAAGCAATCAGAGATGGAGCACATTGACCTCTCGCGGGATCCTACCGAATCCGGACCCTGAACACAACAGACACCCTTAGCCCCGCACAAGACCACTGCACGCAACGCTCTCTCTCTTTTTGAAAGGTGGTGGTAGAAACAGCCAGAATCTACACTGACCGCATGGCTAAAAGCCCTGCTTAGCCAACATGTAACATCAGCTTAAGAGCTGACAAACGATGCATCAGCCGCACGCTGACAGAAATGTATCCCCCCATCAGCCTGTCGCTGACAAACGGTGGCCCCTGCCCAGATTTCCGATCGGGCAAGGGCGGGCGGGAGATCGAACATCAGGGCGGCTCCCACACTCTGCTCCCGGTCTACACACCGGCCAAACAAAGATCACTGTGCTTCAGCCACACAGCTTCAAGCATAAACATGCCTCATTGTCCGGCCACTTCGCACTGCCACGCGACAATCACCGCAAACCACCACTTACCAAAAGTACTTACCAAAAGCGACGCAGCAAAGACGAGCCCCTCGTACGCAACACGCGACCTCCCACGTCAAGCAAGAGAGAGAGACAACCTACCCAAACAAGGGATTCTATCGGATCCCTCTTTTCGCCCCTCCGGTTCCCTCCGGTTCGACCCGCGAGCGAACAAATGCAAGCGAGGTAAAACCTCAGATCCTGCAACGTCTCGAACGTGCACACGCTCACGCGCACACACACATGTTCGGCAGACATGCACGCAATTCATGCGCACACCACACATACCCCTCATCGTTCCTCTACACAGGCACCGCACACTCAAAACACATGTGCAGCAGTGCGCCGGACGTTCTCGAAGCGCGTGGACGCAAACCGAGCCACTGCACACTTTCAACCACAAATGCACGCACAGCACACATGACTGACAGACACATTCACGCAGCTCAAGCAATGGCTGCGGACTCAAACAAGCCAAGCGTGCAAGCGTTTGCGCGCAGCCGAGGGTTAGTGGCACGCGCTGGCCATTAGCCCACCTACCCCAGCGCGACCCGGAAACTCCCTGTACGCCTGGTCTGGAAAACACTCGTCATTTCCATGATGAATCTTTCGTCAACCCCCATGTCGAGGGTCTTTTCCCGATTAATCGAACATGTTCGTTAAACGCGCAATCGTATTTAGAGTAAGCATTACACACGCAACCCAACCCAAACACACACTTGCAGGGTCTTGTCGCACATGACAAGACCCGTTTTCGGGGGAGAACCGAAAATGACATGGCTGCGTCACCCTCGGCTTAACCTGCAGCGCAGACCTGCCTACCGACACAAGTACTGTAAAAAAACTGCTCAAAAGACGTGGAGTGGCCACGCATTAACAAAGTGATAGTTCTGCACGACTGCACGACGAGCGTGAAAGCCCCGAGTGTGAAGCTACGCCAAGCGGGCACTAGCTGGCCCTGCAGCAACCAACACCTAGCCCTGACACACCGACCAAGCCACGCTAGAACAAAAAAATGACCTCCACTTCGACGCACTCTTCGCGCGCACGTAACACGACCCACCAGCTGGCAAACCAACTAACCCTCTGGCCTAGCCCGGGCGGATCATTATTTGGGCAGTTCACGAAGACTAGCTTTTGGTATGATTGCAGCAACGCGAAGCTGAACAGTTGAACCAGTCGCATCAAATCAAACCAACGCATGAAGTACCAGGTCTAAGCGCGGGCGTAAGTGTTCGTAGCACGCACGGGACATGCTTCCTACTCCGCAGGAAACTATGCAAAACGGCAAGACGATCGCTCTTTTGCATCGAGTTGGACAATTGGCGCTTCAGGCAGGCGGCGCAAGCGAGGACACAGAGCCTCTTCTAGACTGCTGGCCTCGCGCACCCCGCCTTTCCTTCCCAGCAAGAATTGAAATGGTTCAAATGATTTCAAATGGGTAGTGAGGGTGGGCTTTCGACAAGGGGCATACGTCGGATCCTTCGCACGGCTGCGGATCCGTTCGCTTCCATATCATTACGCGCACACATGCACTCCAAGGCGCGCAAGCTTTCCAACTTCCTGTACGTGGCAGAACAGACTGGCGTGCACGCAGCACACCGACACGCCCCTGTTCTTAGACACTTGCGCTGAAGGTGTGGCCAAACTTCAAGTCCAGATCCAAATCGAGTAAGCATTGGACGCGGCGTGCACCTCTAAGCATCTACAGCACACACCAGTCGCTTCTAGGGCGGGCATCATCACGAAGATGCACGAAGATGTAAGCAAGCTGAAGACATGACACTCCGCCCCCAAATGTGCGAACGCAGCCCTGAATGACCACGTTCAACAACCAACACCCCACACCCCTTGAATCAAACGCCAGGACAGGATCGGACCCCTTTCTTCGCCCTTTTGGCTCCCAACGCATCAACCTGCTTGGACACACGCGAGACTTTGATCTCACCCGGGCCAGCAGACGCAGCTGCAAAAGGGCAGGCCAGGAAACTCATTGAGCCAAGGCCGACAGCCTGGCAGCATCACGTTGAAATGAGGCGCATCTTGTCTTCAGCCAATTTGGCAGGCTTCGCACCTTGCTGTGAGACTCGCCCTCAAGCGCTCCAGTCGGTCCTGGTAACTGATCGCTTTTGCACGTGAGTCATCAACACACTGTCGTTCAGCCGCAACCTTCAATCCTTCGTACTTCGCCGTTGCTCTCATGCCGGCGACATCTACCCGACACACACACACACACACACACACAAGTTGCGCAGTTTCCCGACATGAACTGTTGTCTATCCAGCCTTCACGTTCCATCACATTCACTGATGCTTGGGCTGGTGATCGCATCAATTGCTGACAATTCACACGATCCGGAGCAGAGGGTGCGACACAATGTGAGAAACTTATTAGCAGCACGGACAGACCGAGAGGAACAATGAGTTTCGTATCTTGAAGCCATCGACTGGCATGACTTTCGAGGCCAGGAAGCCAGCTTTCTTCGGAGGGCCATACAAGCGCGCCAACGTCTCCAAGTCTTTTCTGAGACGCTCGGATGTTCCAAGGATAAGCTTGCGATACGCGTCGAGCTTTCCATGGACTTGGGAAATTGCGCCTTCCTGGCGGGACAAAGCACTATGTGTCGTCAAGCGCTTGCATGGCACAAACACAGAAAGCCACCAGCTACTAGTTGCGAGCAACACCCTAACGCCTCCTCTGCCAGCTGCTCATTCGCAAGCTTCATGGTGAGCTCATTTTCGTTTGGCTGACAAAACCATGCACGACTCTCGAGCCACGAAGACCCCAATACACTAAACACAATGGACCTCGGGGACATGAATGTCAACAGCAGGATACTGCGCCGGGACTTGGTCACCCACAATGCCTGGCATCGCTTGACAAGACACGCAGTCGTCTCGGCACGCATCTTGCAATCAGCCACACCAATAGGAAGCGCAGCGCAGTGCAAAGCTCCGACACAAGCAACACGAATGAGCAAGTGCATATTCGAGACGCTTGACAATTCGCACAACAGCGCAACTATGCCTGGGATTGCTCGCTGCTTGCGCCCCAATCGCAACGAAAATACGTCTCACATCATGCGTTTTCTTATTTAGCTACGCAACAGAACCAGCGAAAGGGAGGGCTCACACGCTCTTTGCCCCAACCAGTCCAGTTGGAGGACATCTGCGGGCGCTTGCAGGCATGGCATCAAGCTCTGCGGCTGGCCAGTTCTGCTTGACAGCCAAGCTGGTAGTCTGCGGCTTGCAGAAATCCAATCTTGGAACGGACGCTGGAGCGCAGCAACAAGCGCGTGCTGCCTTTTCACACTGGCACGCAGCAGCGCGCCCACCCTTTTGCACGGCAACCACGGTGGCAGGCTGGAACTGCAACCTGCAAGAACTTGTCACCACCAGTCAACGCGGCATCGTCGCAATCAGCCAGCTACTGACACCTGTGCTCCCGTCAAAACGAACGCGCGAGAGAGAGAGAGAGAGAGAGAGAGAGAGAGAGAGAGAGAGAGAGAGAGAGAGAGAGAGAGAGAGAGAGAGAGAGAGAGAGAGAGAGAGAGAGAGAGAGAGAGAGAGAGAGAGAGAAGAAAGGAAGAGAACCTACCCAAACAAGGGATTCTATCGGATCACTCTTTTTGCCCCTCCGGTTCCCTCCGGTTCGACCCGCATGAGCACTTTAACTTCTCCAGGAGCATGGCTCCATCGCAACTTCACACCGAGCAGCTGCTTCCGTGCCTTGAACGCGCCAGTCCAAGACACACGAGCTACGCACTGAACAATCATGCACAGCAAATCAAGACCCAAATCAAGCACCAAGGACAGACTACCCTGTTTTGCAACTTCACAGCAGGCGGCCTCGACATCGGCATTCGCAAAGGGCGACCTGACGGCCAGCCAAGCAGGACCAGGACATAAATCTTCCATTCCTTCACCACTCATGCACCACTCCACTCTTCCCACCACGACACTTTGGAACCGTCAGCTCGATGGCTCGACGGCTGAGAAACATCAGGATATTCGTTGAAAGAGTCAAGCCCCTTTGAATCATAAGAACAGGGCGGGTAAGAAGCTGCGCTGGAGCTCTAGCTGTGGAGGCCCGGGCTGACTTCATTTCAACGCGCATTCACAAAATGCACCGTCTCTATGTTTTCTACTATATGCAAGAAACCCACCCGCCAGCCCTCACTGCCGTGACACCCACATGCCAGCTAAACGCGGCTAGGATCCCTTTCTGCCCGGGGCCTATCCACAAACTGTACCCGGCTCGAGCAGCTAGCCGCGCTCGGACTTACCATACAAGATCAAACCCACGAGACGACTCATGTGCTTCGCTTCGCTCCGCACAATTTAGCAAGCCATCTACGCAGCATCGCTCTGGACAACACGCCACGCCATTATGCACAGCAAAGCACTAGCAGCAGACTTCAGTAGCAGAGCAGTCAGTAGCAGACGCCGAGTCACAATGACCTCTTGGGGCACACAGCACAGTAGCACTTCGGGCTGTAGGACGCTTAAAGCTCACACGCTCTTTGCCCCAACCAGTCGGAGGACATCGGCGGACGCTGCAAGCACGGCATCAAGCTCTGCGCCACCAGGGCCAAAGCTGGCACCCACCTTGGCCGTCAAGGACTCACCATCCGCACGCCTGGAGGACGATCCTGATTGGAGGAAGGCTGGCCAGTTCTGCTTAACAGCCAAGCTGGTAGTCCGCGGCTTGCAGGAATCCAATCTTGGAACGAGACGCTGGAGCGCAGCAACAAGTGTGCGCTGCCTTTTCACACTGGCACGCAGCAGCGCGCCCACCGCTTGCACGGCAACCACGACGGCAGGGTCATGGTCTGGAACTGCAACTTGAAAGAACTTGTCACCACCAGTCAATGCGGCATCGTCGCAATCAGCTACTGACACCTGTGCTCCCGTCACTACGAGACACGTGTTGCCCTGCTTGACTTGCCCATCTTGAGCGACGACCCATGACCCTTGGCCTTCTTGGCACTCAATCAAAGACAACTTGCCAGCCACAACCCCCAGGCAGCCCCCGCCCAGCACCTGCAGCTCACCTCCTGCACCTGCAAAGATCTCGGCACCCGTGCCGCTTACAACCGCATCAACGCACGGCTTTGCCGCCACACCGCTGCTTGATCTTGATGCGACCACACACTGCTCCTGCGCTGCTGGGGCACCACTGACCAGCATGAAGGCCGACGGCCTTGCGATCGCCACTGCATTGGACAAGCCGAAATATCCCCAAGGCTTTGCACCACGCATCAAGACTTTCACAGCCTTTGCAGCCACCGGCTCTGGGAACAAGATTGTGTCCTCGAAGCTGGGCTCTGGCCTCGAGAGCTTGCGCCAACCAACACTCTCCTGGAAGTTACCACCATCCGAGCTGGTGAGCACTTTAACTTCTTCAGGAGCATAGCTCCATCGCAACGTCACACCGAGCAGCTGCCTCCGTGCCTTGAACACGCCAGTCCAAGACACGCTCTGCCCAGGTTCATGGTCCCCGGCGCTGCACCAATATCCGGAGGACTCGGTTGTTGCCAGGTCTGCACCGAACGTCTTCGAGGAATAGATGCTGGACGCTGTTGCGGCATCGAACGGCGCAAACTGCTGGGCAGCAGCTTGCAGCACAAGCACCAAGACACAGCGACCTCTCACCATATTGACAGCAGCCTGGCTCGCTGTCCCTTGTATTTGCGACCGCGAGTTCTGAGAAAGCATCGATTAAAGAAATTCTAACTGATTCTAACTGACAGATCACTGACACTTCTCGCACAAACACACAACCCTGATGCCCTAATCAGCCGACTGACAGCATGCATCTGCAGAGACACGGTGCTTTGGCTGCAAGGATATGAGTCTGAGACAATCTAGCCCTTTGTGTCCGCCATTGGTCTGCCCAACCCCGAAATTTTGCACCACAGTGGCCACAGTGTGTCACCACTGCTGTCAATCACACTTCAGACACGACCACTTGGACCGCTGCACATTCACACCTGCAAACAGCGGCACACGGCGCAGCCGGCGCACTCATTCAGGCATAGTCCATTTCCGGCTCGGCAGCCCCAGCTCCACAGGTGGACAGGAGCAGCGCCAGCATCAAGCGAAACAAGGCATGGCCCATGCGCATGCTGGGAATTGGTAACATGACGGCCAGCCAAGCAGGACCAGGACAAACCCACCAGTAAATCTTCCTTTCCTTCACCACTCATGCACCACTCCACTCTTCCCACCACGACACTTCCAAAGCTCCAGAATCTCATCTGTTGTTTTTTCAGGGTACGTGAGTGTCAGCTCGATGGCTCGACGGCTGAGAAACATCATGATATTGGTTGAAAAAGTCATGGCTGTTTGAATCATAAGAACAAGGCGGGTAAGAATCTGCGCTGGAGCTCTAGCTGTGGAGGCCCGGGCTGACTTCATTTCAGCGCGCGTTCACGAAATGCACCAAGCCATCACCGAAGCATCGCTCTGGACAACACGCCATGCCATTCTGCACAGCAAAGCACTAGCAGCATACAGTAGCAGTAGCAGTCAGTAGCAGACGCCACATCATAATGACCTCTTGGGGCACACAGCACAGTAGCACTTCGGGATGCAGGATGCTGAAAGCTCACACGCTCTTTGCCCCAACCAGTCGGAGGACATCTGTGGACGCTGCAAGCACGGCATCAAGCTCTGCGCCACCAGGGCCAAAGCTGGCACCCACCTTGGCCGTCAAGGACTCACCATCCGCACGCCTGGAGCACGATCCTGATTGGAGGAAGGCTGGCCAGTTCTGCTTGACAGCCAAGCTGGTAGTTTGCGGCTTGCAGGAATCCAATCTTGGAACGAGACGCTGGAGCGCAGCAACAAGTGCGCGCTGCCTTTTCACACTGGCACGCAGCAGCGCGCCCACCTCTTGCACGGCAACAGTCAACGCGGCATCGTCGCAATCAGCTACTGACACCTGTGCCCCGTCACTACGAGGCACGTGTTTCTCTGCTTGACTTGCCCATCTTGAGCGACGACCCATGACCCTTGGCCTTCTTGGCACTCAATCAAAAACAACTTGCCAGCCACAACACCCAGGCAGCCCCCGCCCAGCACCTGCAGCTCACCTCCTGCACCTGCAAAGATCTCGGCACCCGTGCCGCTCACAACCGCATCAACGCACGGCTTTGCCGCCACACCGCTGCTTGATGCGACCACACACTGCTCCTGCGCTGCTGGGACACCACTGACCAGCATGAAGGCAGACGGCCTTGCGATCGCCACTGCATTGGACAAGCCGAAATATCCCCAAGGCTTTGCACCACGCATCAAGACTTTCACAGCCTTTGCAGCCACCGGCTCTGGGAACAAGATTGTGTCCTCGAAGCTGGGCTCTGGCCTCGAGAGCTTGCGCCAACCAACACTCTCCTGGAAGTTACCACCATCCGAGCTGGTGAGCACTTTAACTTCTTCAGGAGCATAGCTCCATCGCAACGTCACACCGAGCAGCTGCCTCCGTGCCTTGAACACGCCAGTCCAAGACACGCTCTGCCCAGGTTCATGGTCCCCGGCGCTGCACCAATATCCGGAGGACTCGGTTGTTGCCAGGTCTGCACCGAACGTCTTCGAGGAATAGATGCAACACACACAGACTGCACGCCTCTTTTCAATGAGCTTGCACACAAGAAAGGGGCCGCAGCCCAATCGCTTCTCCCAATCACCGCTCCCTTACAGGAAAGCCACTTGGGGCACCGGTAACTGCCCCTCAGGGCGGGCTGGGCGGGCGCAGAAATATGCGACTACTGCAGCAATTTCTGCAATGAAAACGGCTGCAGTTGTGAGTGTATGGTGCATGCGCAAGCTGACGCTGTACGCAGGCATACCTGGACGCTGTTGCGGCATCGAACGGCGCAAAGTGCTGGGCAGCAGCTTGCAGCACAAGCACCAAGACACAGCGACCTCACCATATTGACAGCAGCCTGGCTCGCTGTCCCTTGTTTTTGCGACTGCGAGTTCTGAGAAAGTATCGATTAAAGAAATTCTAACTGGTTCGAACTGACAGATCACTGATACTTCTCGCACAAACACACAACCCTGATGCCCTAATCAGCCGACTGACAGCATGCATCTGCAGAGACATGGTGCTTTGGCTGCAAAGATATGGCTGTTGGCTCTAAATAGGGGTATGTCGCGGTGTCCCGACCCCCGCCTGCGTTACATACGTATGTCGCGCCGCGCCCACTTGTTTCATACGTATGTCGTGGGGTTTGTCACGGCTGTTTCGCGTGCTGTCGAAAGGACTGCGTAGTCGAAGGTTGCAGTTCCAAGAAGGGGCTTGTCGCAGAGGCTTGTCGCGGAGGCTTGTCGCGGAGGCTTGTCGCGGAGGCTTGTCGCGGACGCTGCTTGTCGCACGCAGAACGGCTTTGTTACCAAACCCGATGTCGCGGAAAAACGTTTGGGAGCCAGTTACATACCTAGACTTTTGAGCCGCACCCATATGAGTCTGGGACAATCTAGCCAATCTCGCCCTTTGTGTCCGCCATTGGTCTTCCCAACCCCGAATGTTTGCACCACAGTGTCACCAGAGCTGTCAATCACACTTCAGACACGACCACTTGGACCGCTGCACATTTTGTTTAGGGTCACACCTGCAAACGCCGGCGCGCTCACTCGGCACAAGCGCTCTCCAAACGAGCCAGCGTCGCAGCTGTGTCCGTGCTCAGGCTTTGCAGAACATTGAGCGTCTCGGCCATCTCGGCAGTTTGCTGCGCGTACGCCTGCACAACATTGGCACGCAGCAAGGCATAGTCCATTTCCGGCTCGGCAGCCCCAGCTCCAGAGGTGGACAGGAGCAGCGCCAGCATCAAGCGAAACAAGGCATGGCCCATGCGCATGCTGGGCATTCCTGACGGCCAGCCAAGCAGGACTAGGACAAACCCACCAGTAAATCTCCTTTCCTTCACCACTCATGCACCACTCCACTCTTCCCACCACGACACTCCCAAAGCTCCAGAGCCTCATCTGTTTTCTCAGCACGGGCTCGGGTTTGGGGGGGGGGGGTTCGGGGTTCGGGCTCGGGTTCGGGTTCGGGCTCGGGTTCGAACCTTTTTTTTTCTTGGGGGGGGGTTCCCGTTCGGCTTCGGGTTCGGGTGGAGCTGCACATGAGTGTCAGCTCGATGGCTCGACGGCTGAGAAACATCATGAGATTCGTTGAAAGAGTCAAGCCCCTTTGAATCATAAGAACAGGGCGGGTAAGAAGCTGCGCTGGAGCTCTAGCTGTGGAGGTCCAAGCTGACTTCATTTCCGCACGCATTCCCGAAATGCACCAAGCCATCTACGCAGCATCGCTCTGGACAACACGCCACGCCATTATGCACAGCAAAGCACTAGCATACAGTAGCAGTAGCAGTCAGTAGCAGACGCCGAGTCACAGGGGCACACAGCACAGTAGCACTTCGGGCTGTAGGATGCTTTGGGCTCACACGCTCTTTGCCCCAACCAGTCGGAGGACATCTGCGGACGCTGCAAGCACGGCATCAAGCTCTGCGCCGCCAGGGCCAAAGCTGGCACCCACCTTGGCCGTCAAGGACTCACCATCCGCACGCCTGGAGGACGATCCTGATTGGAGGAAGGCTGGCCAGTTCTGCTTGACAGCCAAGCTGGTAGTCTGCGGCTTGCAGGAATCCAATCTTGGAACGAGACGCTGGAGCGCAGCAACAAGTGCGCGCTGCCTTTTCACACTGGCACGCAGCAGCACGCCCACCTCTTGCACGGCAACCACGGCGGCAGGGTCATGGTCTGGAACTGCAACTTGAAAGAACTTGTCACCACCAGTCAACGCGGCATCGTCGCAATCAGCTACTGACACCTGTGCTCCCGTCACTACGAGGCACGTGTTTCCCTGCTTGACTTGCCCATCTTGAGCGACGACCCATGACCCTTGGCCTGCTTGGCACTCAATCAAAGACAACTTGCCAGCCACAACACCCAGGCAGCCCCCGCCCAGCACCTGCAGCTCACCTCCTGCACCTGCAAAGATCTCGGCACCCGTGCCGCTCACAACCGCATCAATGCACGGCTTTGCCGCCACACCGCTGCTTGATGCGACCACACACTGCTCCTGCGCTGCTGGGACACCACTGACCAGCATGAAGGCAGACGGCCTTGCGATCGCCACTGCATTGGACAAGCCGAAATATCCCCAAGGCTTTGCACCACGCATCAAGACTTTCACAGCCTTTGCAGCCACCGGCTCTGGGAACAAGATTGTGTCCTCGAAGCTGGGCTCTGGCCTTGAGAGCTTGCGCCAACCAACACTCTCCTGGAAGTTACCACCATCCGAGCTGGTGAGCACTTTAACTTCTTCAGGAGCATAGCTCCATCGCAACGTCACACCGAGCAGCTGCCTCCGTGCCTTGAACACGCCAGTCCAAGACACGCTCTGCCCAGGTTCATGGTCCCCGGCGCTGCACCAATATCCGGAGGACTCGCTTGTCGCCAGGTCTGCACCGAACGTCTTCGAGGAATAGGTGCTGGACGCTGTTGCGGCATCGAACGGCGCAAACTGCTGGGCAGCAGCTTGCAGCACAAGCACCAAGACACAGCGACCTCTCACCATATTGACAGCAGCCTGGCTCGCTGTCCCTTGTATTTGCAACCGCGAGTTCTGAGAAAGTATCGATTACTGGTTCGAACTGGCAGATCACTGATACTTCTCGCACAAACACACAACCCTGATGCCCTGCTCAGCCGACTGACAGCATGCGTCTGCAGAGACATGGTGCTTTGGCTGCAAAGAAAATATGAGTCTGAGACAATCTGGCCCTTTGTGTCCGCCATTGGTCTTCCCAACCCCGAATGTTTGCACCACAGTGTCACCAGAGCTGTCAATCACACTTCAGACACGACCACTTGGACCGCTGCACATTTTGTTTAGGGTCACACCTGCAAACGCCGGCGCACTCACTCGGCACAAGCGCTCTCCAAACGAGCCAGCGTCGCAGCTGTGTCCGCGCTCAGGCTTTGCAGAACATTGAGCGTCTCGGCCATCTCGGCAGTTTGCTGCGCGTACGCCTGCACAACATTGGCACGCAGCAAGGCATAGTCCATTTCCGGCTCGGCAGCCCCAGCTCCACAGGTGGACAGGAGCAGCGCCAGCATCAAGCGAAACAAGGCATGGCCCATGCGCATGCTGGGCATTGGTAACCTGACGGCCAGCCAAGCAGGACCAGGACAAACCCACCAATAAATCTTCCTTTCCTTCACCACTCATGCACCACTCCACTCTTCCCACCACGACACTCCCAAAGCTCCAGAGCCTCATCTGTTTTCTCAGGGTACATGAGTGTCAGACGGCTGAGAAACATCATGAGATTCGTTGAAAGAGTCAAGCCCTTTGAATCATAAGAACAGGGCGGGTAAGAAGCTGCGCTGGAGCTCTAGCTGTGGAGGTCCAAGCTGACTTCATTTCCGCACGCATTCCCGAAATGCACCAAGCCATCTACGCAGCATCGCTCTGGACAACACGCCACGCCATTATGCACAGCAAAGCACTAGCATACAGTAGCAGTAGCAGTCAGTAGCAGACGCCATCACAATGACCTCTTGGGGCACACAGCACAGTAGCACTTCGGGCTGTAGGATGCTTTGGGCTCACACGCTCTTTGCCCCAACCAGTCGGAGGACATCTGCGGACGCTGCAAGCACGGCATCAAGCTCTGCGCCGCCAGGGCCAAAGCTGGCACCCACCTTGGCCGTCAAGGACTCACCATCCGCACGCCTGGAGGACGATCCTGATTGGAGGAAGGCTGGCCAGTTCTGCTTGACAGCCAAGCTGGTAGTCTGCGGCTTGCAGGAATCCAATCTTGGAACGAGACGCTGGAGCGCAGCAACAAGTGCGCGCTGCCTTTTCACACTGGCACGCAGCAGCGCGCCCACCTCTTGCACGGCAACCACGGCGGCAGGGTCATGGTCTGGAACTGCAACTTGAAAGAACTTGTCACCACCAGTCAACGCGGCATCGTCGCAATCAGCTACTGACACCTGTGCTCCCGTCACTACGAGGCACGTGTTTCCCTGCTTGACTTGCCCATCTTGAGCGACGACCCATGACCCTTGGCCTGCTTGGCACTCAATCAAAGACAACTTGCCAGCCACAACACCCAGGCAGCCCCCGCCCAGCACCTGCAGCTCACCTCCTGCACCTGCAAAGATCTCGGCACCCGTGCCGCTCACAACCGCATCAACGCACGGCTTTGCCGCCACACCGCTGCTTGATGCGACCACACACTGCTCCTGCGCTGCTGGGACACCACTGACCAGCATGAAGGCAGACGGCCTTGCGATCGCCACTGCATTGGACAAGCCGAAATATCCCCAAGGCTTTGCACCACGCATCAAGACTTTCACAGCCTTTGCAGCCACCGGCTCTGGGAACAAGATTGTGTCCTCGAAGCTGGGCTCTGGCCTCGAGAGCTTGCGCCAACCAACACTCTCCTGGAAGTTACCACCATCCGAGCTGGTGAGCACTTTAACTTCTTCAGGAGCATAGCTCCATCGCAACGTCACACCGAGCAGCTGCCTCCGTGCCTTGAACACGCCAGTCCAAGACACGCTCTGCCCAGGTTCATGGTCCCCGGCGCTGCACCAATATCCGGAGGACTCGCTTGTCGCCAGGTCTGCACCGAACGTCTTCGAGGAATAGGTGCTGGACGCTGTTGCGGCATCGAACGGCGCAAACTGCTGGGCAGCAGCTTGCAGCACAAGCACCAAGACACAGCGACCTCTCACCATATTGACAGCAGCCTGGCTCGCTGTCCCCTTGTATTTGCGACCGCGAGTTCTGAGAAAGTATCGATTGAAGAAATTCTAACTGGTTCGACACACAACCCTGATGCCCTAATCAGCCGACTGACAGCATGCATCTGCAGAGACATGGTGCTTTGGCTGCAAAGAAAAAATATGAGTCTGAGACAATCTAGCCCTTTGTGTCCGCCATTGGTCTTCCCAACCCCGAATGTTTGCACCACAGTGTCACCAGAGCTGTCAATCACACTTCAGACACGACCACTTGGACCGCTGCACATTTTGTTTAGGGTCACACCTGCAAACGCCGGCGCACTCACTCGGCGCAAGCACTCTCCAAACGAGCCAGCGTCGCAGCTGTGTCCGTGCTCAGGCTTTGCAGAACATTGAGCGTCTCGGCCATCTCGGCAGTTTGCTGCGCGTACGCCTGCACAACATTGGCACGCAGCAAGGCATAGTCCATTTCCGGCTCGGCAGCCCCAGCTCCAGAGGTGGACAGGAGCAGCGCCAGCATCAAGCGAAACAAGGCATGGCCCATGCGCATGCTGGGCATTGGTAACCTGACGGCCAGCCAAGCAGGACCAGGACAAACCCACCAGTAAATCTTCCTTTCCTTCACCACTCATGCACCACTCCACTCTTCCCACCACGACACTCCCAAAGCTCCAGAGCCTCATCTGTTTTCTCAGGGTACATGAGTGTCAGACGGCTGAGAAACATCATGAGATTCGTTGAAAGAGTCAAGCCCTTTGAATCATAAGAACAGGGCGGGTAAGAAGCTGCGCTGGAGCTCTAGCTGTGGAGGTCCAAGCTGACTTCATTTCCGCACGCATTCCCGAAATGCACCAAGCCATCTACGCAGCATCGCTCTGGACAACACGCCACGCCATTATGCACAGCAAAGCACTAGCATACAGTAGCAGTAGCAGTCAGTAGCAGACGCCAAATCATAATGACCTCTTGGGGCACACAGCACAGTAGCACTTTGGGCTGTAGGATGCATTGGGCTCACACGCTCTTTGCCCCAGCCAGTCGGAGGACATCTGCGGACGCTGCAAGCACAGTATCAAGCTCTGCGCTGCCAGGGCCAAAGCTGGCACCCACCTTGGCCGTCAAGGACTCACCATCCGCACGCCTGGAGGACGATCCTGATTGGAGGAAGGCTGGCCAGTTCTGCTTGACAGCCAAGCTGGTAGTCTGCGGCTTGCAGGAATCCAATCTTGGAACGAGACGCTGGAGCGCAGCAACAAGTGCGCGCTGCCTTTTCACACTGGCACGCAGCAGCGCGCCCACCTCTTGCACGGCAACCACGGCGGCAGGGTCATTGTCTGGAACTGCAACTTGAAAGAACTTGTCACCACCAGTCAATGCGGCATCGTCGCAATCAGCTACTGACACCTGTGCTCCCGTCACTACGAGGCACGTGTTTCCCTGCTTGACTTGCCCATCTTGAGCGACGACCCATGACCCTTGGCCTGCTTGGCACTCAATCAAAGACAACTTGCCAGCCACAACACCCAGGCAGCCCCCGCCCAGCACCTGCAGCTCACCTCCTGCACCTGCAAAGATCTCGGCACCCGTGCCGCTCACAACCGCATCAATGCACGGCTTTGCCGCCACACCGCTGCTTGATGCGACCACACACTGCTCCTGCGCTGCTGGGACACCACTGACCAGCATGAAGGCAGACGGCCTTGCGATCGCCACTGCATTGGACAAGCCGAAATATCCCCAAGGCTTTGCACCACGCATCAAGACTTTCACAGCCTTTGCAGCCACCGGCTCTGGGAACAAGATTGTGTCCTCGAAGCTGGGCTCTGGCCTTGAGAGCTTGCGCCAACCAACACTCTCCTGGAAGTTACCACCATCCGAGCTGGTGAGCACTTTAACTTCTTCAGGAGCATAGCTCCATCGCAACGTCACACCGAGCAGCTGCCTCCGTGCCTTGAACACGCCAGTCCAAGACACGCTCTGCCCAGGTTCATGGTCCCCGGCGCTGCACCAATATCCGGAGGACTCGCTTGTCGCCAGGTCTGCACCGAACGTCTTCGAGGAATAGGTGCTGGACGCTGTTGCGGCATCGAACGGCGCAAACTGCTGGGCAGCAGCTTGCAGCACAAGCACCAAGACACAGGGACCTCTCACCATATTGACAGCAGCCTGGCTCGCTGTCCCTTGTATTTGCAACCGCGAGTTCTGAGAAAGTATCGATTAAAGAAATTCTAACTGGTTCATCACTAGCAGATTGTGGACGCGCTCAAGACACATCACAACGCAGCGGACTTTTGGCAGCCATCGATCTCAGTTCCAATGATGCCGGCAACGCCGGAAGAAGAAACGCCGGTGGGCGTCAAAGTTATACAGAATTCGCTGCTCCTCGGCAGCACACGCCACAGGCCTCTCCAGGGCGGGCGGGCGGGAAACTGAAGCTCTGCGCAGACGCACCGGAACCTATGTTGCGCAGAGCTACAGAGTGAGCTCACATCCACAACTGCAAATGATTGTATTGCACGCAGAGGCGTGAAAGCCCCGAACTGACAGATCACTGATACTTCTCGCACAAACACACAACCCTGATGCCCTAATCAGCCGACTGACAGCATGCGTCTGCAGAGACATGGTGCTTTGGCTGCAAAGATAATATGAGTCTGAGACAATCTAGCCCTTTGTGTCCGCCATTGGTCTTCCCAACCCCGAATGTTTGCACCACAGTGTCACCAGAGCTGTCAATCACACTTCAGACACGACCACTTGGACCGCTGCACATTTTTTAGGGTCACACCTGCAAACGCCAGCGCACTCACTCGGCACAAGCGCTCTCCAAACGAGCCAGCGTCGCAGCTGTGTCCACGCTCAGGCTTTGCAGAACATTGAGCGTCTCGGCCATCTCGGCAGTTTGCTGCGCGTACGCCTGCACAACATTGGCACGCAGCAAGGCATAGTCCATTTCCGGCTCGGCAGCCCCAGCTCCACAGGTGGACAGGAGCAGCGCCAGCATCAAGCGAAACAAGGCATGGCCCATGCGCATGCTGGGCATTGGTAACCTGACGGCCAGCCAAGCAGGACCAGGACAAACCCACCAATAAATCTTCCTTTCCTTCACCACTCATGCACCACTCCACTCTTCCCACCACGACACTCCCAAAGCTCCAGAGCCTCATCTGTTTTCTCAGGGTACATGAGTGTCAGACGGCTGAGAAACATCATGAGATTCGTTGAAAGAGTCAAGCCCTTTGAATCAATAAGAACAAGGCGGGTAAGAATCTGCGCTGGAGCTCTAGCTGTGGAGGCCCGGGCTGACTTCATTTC